ACACTTTTTGTCTTTCCCATGGGGAGCAAGGTAGTTTGTAGTTGTTGACAGGGCTGACTGGTTTTGACATGTTTGGCCTGTTTTATTGTTTCATTAGTCAGGTTGTCATCTTACTCGAAACCAGGAGCTGAACAGACCACTCCCATAAAGCCTGCTATAACCACCTCTCTCCCAAAGATGTCCAGTCAAAATTTCTTTACTTAGCACTGTTGATTTAATCAGTCCCCTGCAAGTGGGTCAAAACCTTCAAAAAGCACTGTCTGAGAAGTCCTCTATGTCGGAAAGCTTTCACCTAAGGTCTATCTTTGGTTCGAATCAGTCACAGAATAGCTGAGACTGGAAGGTACCTTTGGAGATCATCTAGTTCGATTCTCCTGCTCAGAGCAGGATCAGCTACAACAGGTCGCTCGGGACCATGTCCAGTTGGGTTTTGAACATCTTTAAGGTGGCTGCACAGCCCCTCAGGACAAACTGTTCCATTGTTTGATCACTCTTGCAGTGTGTGTGTATGTGTTTATATATGTGTGTATATATATGGTTAAGTGGAATTTGTTCTGTTTCAGTTTGTGCCCACTGCCTCTAGTGCTTTCACTGGGCACCGCTCAGCCTTCTCCACACCCTCATCAGTAATATCTCCCTGACCCTTCTCCCAGCTCTTTCAACCATTCTTTGTATGAAGATATTCCAGTCCATTAGTCATCTTCTTGGCCCTTTGTTGGGCGCACTCCAGTATGTTCATGTGTGCCTTGTACTGGGGAGCCCAGAACAGGACCTGGCACTCTAGATGGGTCTCACCAGTGCTGAGATGAGGGGGAGGATCACCTCCCTCAACCTGCTGGCAGTACGCTTCCTAATGCAGCCCAAGATGCTGTTGGCCTTTCTTTTGCTGCAAGGATGTGTTGCTGGCTCACGTCAATTTGGCGTCCACCGGGTCCTGTTCCGCCAAGCTGCCTTTCCGCGAAGCAGTCCACAGCCTGTGCTGCCATTGTTCATCCCCAGGGACAGGACTTGGCATTTCCCTTTGAACTTCATGAAGTTCCTGTTGGCCCATTTCCTCAGTCTGTTGAGGTCCCTCTAAACAGCAACACACCCATCTGGTCTGTCAGTCACTCTTCACAGTTTTATATCATCTGCAGACTTGCTGATGGTGCGTTCAGTCCCATCATCCAGGTCATTAATAAAGATACTGAACAACTCAACATTGACTCCTGTAGGACACCACTGGTGACTCTCTTCCAGCTGGACTATGTGTCATTGATCACAACCCTTTGAGCCTGGCATTTTGGACAGTTTTCAGTCCGTTTCACTTTGCACTCATCCGGCCTCTACTCCATCAGTTTATGTGTGAGGAAGTTATGGGAGACTGTGTCCACTGCTTTCCTATCATCCAGTGAAGTAGTCATTTCATCGTGGAAGGCTGTCAGGTTGGTCAGGCATGATTTTCTTTTCATACATCTTTGCTGATTCCCACTATCACCGCCCTGGTGCTCTTGGGTAGTACTGACTCAGCTGCCTCTGATGCTTCATCGTCCTTCAGCTACTACCACGGCACTGAATGTAGTCCTGTGTTTCTAAATCTGTTCTGTCAGTTCTTACAGTCTGTTATAATTTATTTTCTATAATACCTGACTATGATTTGGCTTGTCATTTTTTTTGTTTTCTTCCCTCTTTCCTTGGTTGGAAGAGGGTGATGTCTTATGTTTATATTTTGAATTCTTGCGAAAACAAGATTGCCACTTAATTCTTGGAGATATAGGGTAAAAACATCATCATCTTTGCACACAGTATAACAGGTGGTTTGTGATGGTCCATGCTGCCTGTGAAAACTCAGGAGAATATTGTCTCCCTCTCAGGTGAGCTTCGGTTATGCTGGGTGTGGAAGAAGAGCATGGTTAACCTCATGGTGTTCCTGCTCAAGCCTGAGAAGACTATTTTTCATCCAAGACTGTCATTATGGACTTTTATGTTACAGATAATTGATTTGAGTTGGGTTTGAAATTGAGATAGCTGTGTAAAAAGCAGATGGGATGTAAGAGAGATGTTTTTGGTAGTTTGTGTTGCTGAGGTGTTCTGCTGCACCTTCTACCAGTTGAGACTTTCTGGTTTTTGAAAGTTTTCAGCAGCTTATATTACTGCAGTCCAACTTATTGATGACTGATTTTTAGTATCACATCTGTTCTTGAGTAAAGCTTTTAAGTGAGAACTGGAAGTATTCAGAAGTATAATTCAGAAGCATTCAGAACTACTTCAAGCATTCAGAAGTATAATCTGTGGACTGACATTATTCTTAATTACTGTTTCTATAAGGAGTTATGATTCCTTAGAAACATTTTCTGTCACCACTGGACACTGGTTTTGCTTGAGTAAATATTATACTTGAATACCTTTCAGAGGTTTATTTAATCTAGACTGTTTTGGTAGTAGAATGGTTTCTTGCCCATCACACTGTAGTCTGAATTACCTGGATGGTTCATCTAGTGCTACTTGCCAATACTGAAAAGCAATACTGATTAGTGCTCCTCTTGAGGACCACATAGTAGTGAGATGTGCAGCTTCTTGCTGTTTGTGTCATCATATGAAAAAATGTATGGGATGGAACTATCTTGATGTTCCCCCTGGCCCCTCCCACTTTACAGGCAAGACAACAGAGTTTAGATCTGGTTTGTATATGTATCCAAGAGAGCGAGGGTGGTATTGAGTATCACTGGCAAATACAAGAGGAAATTCAGCACCTAAATTTCAAACATAAAAAGCTGATTTTCATTTACTGCTATTTGTCTTTGGAATACAGAGACACATGGGTGGTGACTGGGAGGTTCTTGAGATCCTCCTTTGGTTGTTGGCATGACCAAGCCCATGTTTTACAGTCTGGAAAAGTGACCAAAATGAGCATGTTATGCATTTCAAGCACAAATATACAAATGTTCCCCCAAGGAAATAAAGAAGCTTTCAAAATAATTAGTTCATGTTGACATAGTGTGGGTATGATTATCTACTACTTCTGTGGAAAAAGGACCAGGTGTTTGGCAGTTCGAGTCATGGTCTGCAATGCTGTAAGCATTTACCATGACTGACACTGTGTTCTGATCCATTTTCCATGTTTAACTTCGTAAAACTGTCCTATACTGTGTATATTGAAATATAATACCTACTAAATGTGCTTAAACACAGAGTTTATCATGAGAGAAATATGTAACATGGATATTTCTTGCTTTTTTTATGCATTTGTAGGTTTCCAAAATGGTTTGGTTGAGTTGGTTGAAAGATGACATTTTTATTTCCAGACTGTAGGTGATGAATGGCCATTGTCTTTATGATCTGTGGCTGCCAGAATTTCCTATCTGTTGAGCAATATTTCATGTCAGCTACTCAAAAGACAATTCAGTGCAGAAGCAAGACAAAACTACTATGCTTGCTGCAGGCAGTAATGGGAAAATATGATGCCTTGAAGCAAGCTTAGAGAATCTGTTTGGTAAAAATAAATGTATACAGTACAAAAAGCATATTAGGAGTTCCAGAGGTGTGTATCACGAGCAGGTAACTCTGGTGATGACTTCTGTTCATAATGAAGAAAACAAATTTTTTTTTTCTTAATGGAATTAAGTCTTCATGTTTATATTTGACCGACTCCTTTGTTAATGGGTTATTCAGAAAACAGTTTGCCAGACAGATCATTCTAGCTTCTCTTGTATTCGTGGCACCATCATGTATTTTTGTTTTTACCAAGGGTTTCCTGACTTCATCTGTAGGCAGCAGGGGGATAAAGTCTGCGTTGCAACATGCGTGCAGCAGCACTTTTCATCAAAATTGTCCACAGATCAGAATTATACATTGATTTAATGGAGCTGTAAGTTCAATACCAGGAAATAATACTTTCTCCCCTTTGATTCCTTAATTTGCCATTCCTTAATTTGTGAATTAATTGTTGGATTTTATTATGTATTGATAGAATAAGGAGTAACCTGGGAAAAAATTTTTTACAGCCATTCAGGATTTCTGTCTTTTAACCCTGTTGTCTTTGTGCATGTTGTGATCTGCAGAGGAGAGGGAGGTTTCAGTGAGAACAGTGTTACGTTTGGTAGTGCCTGGGTATCCTGACTGGATTTGAGTGAGAGGGGAGATTATTTGATTGCTGCAGGTTTGTGGAAATTTGTGACATAAACAGAATTTCTTGATGATTCTATGAACAAATGAGCCTTTATTGCCAAACAAGCCTTAAGCTGTCAGTTAGCAACCCTCACGGATCTTGCGCAACAGATGACAAGTATGTAAATACATCGTTGTGCTACTCTGAGTAAACTTAATTATATCAAAATTAAAGCTCTCTTGCTTATTCTTCTTCATACAAACCCAGATGAATCTGAAGGAGGATGCCTTTTACATGTCTGTGCAAATTAAATTGTATGATATTGTCAATCGTACACCTTGTGGCTGTATTATATTTCTTGGATCAAACCTGCAAAAATAGCGTGTGTGCAGCAATCAGGTTTTTTTGCAGATATAATAGCAGATGCAAGTATGAGAACTAACAATGCATTGCATGTACATATCATACATGCAGAATTGGAACCTTTCTCCCTCCTTGGCCCCAAAACATGCATTGAGTAACAAACACTTGCCCTGTGGGCAGTGATTCATAATTGGTAAATCTTGGGCTGGGACTTGGCAAAGCAGAGGGTCAAAAAACCACAGCCAGCAATCCCTTCCATCACACATGCACAAAAACCTACCCGCCACCAATAAAATATGACACGGTGTCATATTTCTGAATTTACTTTATTCTAATAAGTGACTATCCTTTTTTTTTTTTTTCCCCATCTCCAAAGTGGTTGGGAACACTACAGTTCAGTAATTACTGTTGCTGTAAGAGAAACTCCTGTTCTTTGCATTTGTCATTAGGTCTGCCTTTTTGTACATGCATGGATTTAAAGTTTCATTTCCACATCTGCATTGCATTCACTGTAATTGTTTTTTTGTTTTTTTTTTTTCTTTCTTTTTAGTGGACTATATTGTGGAATATGACTATGATGCAGTGCATGATGATGAGTTAACGATCCGAGTTGGGGAAATCATCAGGAATGTGAAAAAACTGGAAGAAGAAGGATGGTTAGAAGGGGAGTTAAATGGCAAAAGGGGCATGTTCCCTGACAATTTTGTGAAGGTGAGTTTTCTGCATTGACTTGGTTTTACTGGGATGGTACAGCAGGCTAGTTATTCTTAAAACGGTTAGAATACACATCAGTCGTATTTGTAACAAGGTGATTTTTGTAACCGGAAGACCTTTTAGATGATTAATCTTTTTTAGTATGCTTTTGAAGGCTTTTTTGAGTAAGTTCTGCTGTGTCTTCTTATTCATTTTAGCATTTCTTTCTGTCTGTACCCTTGCACTGTATGTTCTGCTTCCTTCCTAATGCTGCGATGCACTAACAGTTGTCTGTAGCCATAGTGACCTGCTTTAGTGAGATGAACTGATTAAAAACCGAAAAACACACGCACAAAAAAATCCCAAACCTACCCCTACATGAGACATCAAGTCATGAGAGAGTTGGGAAAGTGGGGTCACAGCTCAGTCAGTTCAACTATAATGAGAAACTACATCCTCAGGCTGTGGTTGTGTGGGTGCTTCAGCCTGGATTAAGCTGCTTTGTTTGAAGGAGCAATTCTGCCCTACCCTGGACTCCCTGCTGCTGGCACTGCCCTTTTTGTGACCATGCAAAGGAACAGGGTGGGGAATGTGTCCAGCTAAAAGCTAACTGTGACCTCAGGTTGGCTTTTAGCTTGTTTGGTTTCCTGAGCAGGTTTCCCATTTGTCAGCAGCAAATACCTGTAATGGGAAGGGTGTAAGGTAAGTGCTCCACTGGGCTGCAGCACCGTGGTGTCTTTGGATTAGTCATCATCTCTCTACGTATGATCCTCTGCTCTGGGATCTCTGTCTCACTCAGTGCTGTGCAACTGACTTGAGGTAGTTGTTTTCTGCTGTGAGACAGTGCTTCTCAAACCTGTTATTTAACCTTTTATTTATATATAAATTTTTTTTTTCTGTGTTTGTGTCCCAATTTTAATTGAAGTTCTTGTTTGCACCTTCCACTTTTTTTCCTGTTTTCTCTGCAAATTTTCTAAATGTAATATTAGAGTATGCACCTAGTTATTAGTTGCTTACAATGAAGAAGTCTGCAAAGCAGCTAGGTGTGCTATTCCACGTGTAACTCCAGAAATTCAGAGTCTGCTGAGCTGCAGATACTTTCTCATCTAAACTGTGCAAGTGTTATGGAGAAGTTATTTTGTTTCTTTATGCTTTCTAACCTTTTCAGTAACTTCCAAGACTTCCTTAGTGTAATTTCCGTGAAGTATACTCACAGAGAATTTTAGATATTCCTGTCTTTTTTTTAAAGTGAAATTTATTCTTCGCAAAACAGAATTATCTAGTGTCTCTTACTGTGATATTTTCATATCATTAAACCTAAGGGGAAGTTTGTCCAGTGCTATAAACACTTCTTTACACTTGCTTACATTAAATTTGACAATTTTTCTGTTCATCTTACTGAAAAAGCAAAATTACTCATTTTTTATTTACTGTGGAGGCATTTAAGTATTCTGCCTTTTAAAACTGACAGGAATAATCCAGTTGTTCTCAGAGAGGGTCTTTTACCAAGGAAAAGTTTATATGAATGCCTTTCACTTGCCTAGTATTTTTAAGCTGTTTGTAGTTTAGTTCTAAATCCATTTTGGGTTTTTACTGTTGTGTAAATAGTAATTTTACCTTAAGTGGTGTTTTGATGATTACTGCGTTAATGTATTTAATTAGTACTCAAGTGCCATATAGGAAGAAAGCATCAGACATGGCTATTCTCTGGTTCTTGTGTCATCAAGACTGTCTTTCTACTGAACAGCAAAAAGAGATTGGATGTGGCTTGTTTACATGTTAAATACTAAACTTTTTGGGTGTTTTCTTGCCCTTCTGCAGCTGTGGCTTTTATAAACTTCATTTTAAACTATTTACATCCTGAAAAATCTTTATCCATCTCAGCTCCAGGTATTTTTAACTCTACAGTATGTTCATGGCATGGTCGGATATCCTGAATTACAGAGGGCAGTCAATTTTCTAGAAGGCAGAGGGATTTGGAGAAGTAGAAAGGAAGTTGTGTAGAAGACAATTATCTCTTTGGTTTCATGACAGCAGGGGATAACTTGCTTTCTTGGTGCTGGAGTTAAGTCCAGTTATGAGGCTGGTCTTGGGAACATTTTCTTTTAAGATGGTGTGCATAGGCTGGAAGACTGTCATGCAGTGATGAGATAATGGGAAAGCATTAATTGTTAGGGAAGTAAAAGTCATGGGTTTCCTCATGGCAAATTTGATTATAGTTTCTGCTGAAAAGTTAATTTACAGGTAGTGATAGTTTGAGAGACTGTTCCTGGGAAAGCTGTTGCAGAAAAGTGGTGGTTTTCTGTCTCCCCCCAACTGTTGTCATTTGCTATTGCAGTAGGTTGTTGATGGTGCAGGATCTATGAAACATTACTATGACCAGACCACTGCAAATACCGAGCCTCAACAGCTAAATTCAAATGCTCCTGCTTCGCCCGGTGCAATGTTAACACCGCAAGGTGTGGGTGAACTGCTGGAGGGAGGTGGAAACAAGCTGAAGCGGGGTTGTACTTTGGCCTTGTGAACAAAGAAGGTCCCTTGATTTACTCATTTGCTGCCTCACCCAGTAGCTCAATGAGATGGTGGTGGCCTCTGTGTCCTCTGGGCTTCCTATGGGAAGGACTGACATCTTGCTCTGACCACAGGGGTGTGGGATTGAGTAGGGAAGTGTAGTAGTTGATTAGGAGGGGTAATGACAAGAAGGATGCTGAAGATGGACAAATACTGCTAACTTCTCATGACCCACATGAAAGGGAACCATCATAGAAGAGTCTGGATTGGAAGGGACCTCAAAGATCATCTAGTTCCACCCCCCCCCTGCCATGGGCAGGGACACCCTCCACTAGACCAGGTTGCCCAAACCCCCATCCAGCCTGGCCTTGAACACTGCCAGGGATGGGACATCCACAGCTTCTCTGGGCAATCTGGTTCAGTGTCTTACCATCCTTGCAGTGAAAGAAATTCTTCCTAATATCTAAAGGAAATAAAGGAAAGGAGGCTGAAAGTCTGAAGGGTGCATTGAGGAGGACACTAAGTTGGAAGGACTGGGGGAACCTCAGGTGCATGGGGTGAATCTCCCAGGTTGGGTCAGTAGAAATGCAACCAGAGAGAGAAAATTGGTGGGGACAGGACCAAGGTTGTACCAAGTTTTACACGTTTGGGTGCAAAATTCTGGGACTGTACTTGAATACTTATTCCTTCCTGAAAGGATCATCTTACTCTCCTGTTGTGAGTGTAATTTCATGCATTAGATGGGGATCTGACTTAAACTCATTTTATAGGTAAATTTGGTTTTGGGTTTTTTTGGTGATATATATATGCTGGTTTGTTAAGAATTGAACTGAGGGCAGTGTATAACCTCTCCATGCTGAATTTGGATGGTAAGTTATAATCTGTGCTCATCTGAAAAAGATTAGCATTTGTAGCTGAAAGTGCACGTTATCCACTAGATCTGCCTAGCCTCTTCCTTTATAAAATATTTAAAAACATAATAAATTTATGACAGATTAAACTGGGTGAAGATGGACATGTTTTCTTTTTCAAATATTAGATGGTTTTACAGAAGATAAAGGCTTCTTTTAAAGAAGTCATTTGATTTTCATCAAATGACTGCGGAAGAATTGGGGGGGAGGCGCTAATTCCAGCCAGTTTGGTTTTTGCTCGTTTTCTTAGTTTTTCCCTGCTTCATCCTGTCCAAGGGCAGAAAAAAGCTTGTTGCCTTGGTGGCAGCTGCAAACTGCCCTTGGCTGCCAGGCAGCGTGCGGCTCCTCCTTGCCTGTTTGAAGGACGACCAAAACGTCAACAGGAGGATTATGGCTGCATGCCGCCTGGATGTGTTGGATGCCCCAGGTTCGGACTGTATCATCACTAAAGCAGATCGGTCCCCTTCTGTTCCCTCCTTCTGGGCTTCGCTAATACGTAGGATTTACTGACATTTTACACCACTCCTCCAACTTTGACTTCTGCATGCTTTGACAAAGGCATCTTTTCCGTTGGAAGCGTGACCTCAACTATCAACTTCATTTTGACTTGTTAAAGTTGTGCAGGAAATAGCTTTTTGATTAGGCCTTCCTTCCCTCCCCCCCCAAGGCTTCTAAATGCTGCAAAATAGTTTTATGTAGTGGGTTTGTTTCGTGTAGCAGTTGGGTCTTTGCTGTCAGAAGTGTAGCAAATAAAGCCAATGCTGTGTTTCCAAATGTGTTAATTTGTTGTACAGACATGAGCTAAGCACTATATGACTTTGAAATACTCATATGCAGAAGGGAACATATGGAAGCTTCCTGTGGTTACTGATGTGATGCTTGGTGCCTCATAACATCTACTGGTAACTTTTTGGTTGGGTTTTATTGGCTTCTACCCAAACTTTTTGCCCGTTGACATTGAGATCTTGAAGAAGGACCGGACCTTGGTGGTGCTTGGTTCCTAGTGCCAGCTGAGACCCAGGCATTTTCTGCGAGCTCATCGCTTGATGGGTTAACCAGCAGCCTGAGGCGGTCTGTTCTTGGTGCTGACTTCCACTTGTGTTTTTTTGCATTAAAAGAAAGGAAACAGGTAGACTCAGTTAAGGGGACCGCCATAAAGCCTCCAAAACATCCTCAGGTACTATTGTGACAGTGTCACTGCATTGGATGGAGAGTGGGACCTATTGTAAAGGTTAGGAGGGAAGTCAAGGAGTGGGATGTCCAAAGGAGTCCTGAAACCAGAGCTCAGGGTGGTGGTGAAGCTTGTGGTGACTCTATAGTTGACAACCAGTAGGTAAAGAAAGTACAAGAACTACACTGCCCACTTGTGAAGCTAATTTCAGTGAAGTCGCCTTTCAGTAACAGGCATTTTTAAAGATTTTCTGCCTGTATTGCAGTGTTGGATTTTGGAGTAGATAGAGTTCCAATTTTATGAACAAAACCTGATCTGAAATTCCCATTTGAACTGTGTGCATGTACGCTTTTAGTGGGGTTGAAATATTTGAATTTGACTTCTTGTTCCTGACATTGTTATTGCCATTTTTTTCCCTCTTCCTG